GACCATGCATCTACTGAGACTTCGGGTAATCTCGGCAAGCCGAGCACAGGACACGTCCGCACGCTGCGCTCGCGTGCTGCCCATGCTCAGAAAATGTGTGTGTGCGTGTGTGTCGGTCTTAAGAATGTTTCTGTGGGGCTTATACAAGTGTTAAATGCGAATGCGAGGGTTGCAAACGCATTATGATAATAGGGTTTCAAGTCACCGGTGGGGCTTTACGGCTCATTGATGGCTTTTGGGTTTCAGGGTATAGGGTATAGTATAGGGCGTATCTTGACGCTCAATGTTCTTCATGTTGGCGCTTGTTATTGTAGCCTTGCTAGAGTACTCAACAGATGGCCAAGCACTAGCACCCACCGTCGGCGAAGGTGCAAGGAATTCTTAGTCTTGATTTTGCCGAAAGTTTCAGGTTTTGGTGCGGCTGTTGAACCGGATAGTTCGAATTGATACACCAAGTATGGCTTATGCCTCTCGCTGCGAGGCCAAATCGCCGTGGCTACCGCGGGTTGCGAAGCTTTGGCGCTTGAGCTTGAAGATGAATTTGAGCTCGGAGACTTTGCGGGTTTCAACTTTCAACGCCTATATCCAACAGACGAGCCTCGCTCTTTGCAGCATTCAAGCAGTTCCCAGAGAGCCCAATACCCCTTAATTAAGGAATATGGCTTAAATCATAATATGAAGCCCCCTATAATTTAAGGTATACTGCTTAATTAAGGGATATTGGGCTCTCAGGGTTCATCACATGACATCCGCCACAGCCTCATTAATGGGCCTACAGACCGTGACAACATACGAAAGGTCTAAAAAGGCTGAATCCGAATCACACGACGAACCATTGTAGGTTATAACGTAATTCTTGTGGAACTCTTCCAGCCCCTCTACTTGGAGGCTCATGCATAACTATAGCCCATATTAGGGGACTTAACCCCCACTTCTGACTACACTAAACCCTACACCCCATAGAACCCTTACAAGAACCCTAAAGCCTATAGAACCCTTAAAGGAACCCTAAACCCCACTTAAAGACTGCCCATGAACCTCTAAGTAAGCCCTGCAAGCCCCTGAAGTCCTGAAACATGTGCAGCAGGACAGCAGGTTCAAGCTGGCGGTTGCATTCCGGTTTTGGGGTTTAGGGTTTAGGGCATTGGGGTGAAGCTTTGGGGGTGGTTCAGGGTTTAGGGTATTGGGTTTCAGGTTTGGGTTTACGGTTTAGGGTATTGGGTTAAAGGTTTGGGGTGTAGGGTTCAGGGTATTGGGTTAAAGTTTCGGTGTTTAGGGTATAGGGTATTGGGTCAGGGGTTTAGGGCTTTCCTGAAACGAGCTTGGGAAATCCTGCGGAAAGCTTTTCGCGGCTTCGCCGACGGCGCGAGAAGAATGTTCTTTGAAACGGCAGGGCCACAGCGCCCGCTAGAGCAAGAATTCTAGGCTGATCGCAGCTTGTTTGCGGCATGAAGCATATGCTGGACGAAGCTTGCAGACTTGACACTCCTAGCCTGCCTTAAGGGATCCCAGACCCTAAACCATTGATCCAAAACCCCTAAACCCTAAACCCAACAGCCCGCCTTAAGGGATCCCAGACCCTAAACCATTGATCCAAAACCCCTAAACCCTAAACCCAACAGCCCGCCTTAAGGGATCCCAGACCCTAAACCATTGATCCAAAACCCCTAAACCCTAAACCCAACAGCCCGCCTTAAGGGATCCCAAACCCTAAACCATAGACCCGAGCCCTAAACTCTACACCTCCTCTGCTAGATCGGGCCTTTGCTTTTCCTGTTTACAGGGTGTAGGGTCCCTGTACTTGGAGGATCATGGGACTTAGTAAGTAAGGTTATAAGTACCTTGATTGGGGTTATAAGTACAGTTACCCTGATTTTAACCTTAGCCTTAGTTACTAAGTCCCATGATCCTTTAAGTAGGGTTTTAGAGATTATCTAAACTGCTGAATTCCTAAGCCCCCAAAAAATTGCACTTTCAGTTTTACGGTGTGTAATATTGTCCCAAAAACTGTAAAGTGTATCCACTCAGCCACTAGGTTATAGGCTTGACTCGAATTGAAAAGTTCGGGGATAATACAGGGGCCTTAGTAATTAGAATATTGGTTTTGGGGCTCATTATACTAAAATTAGAGGACCCGCAGCTTCGTAGGGTGGTGGCTGCCGTCTTCAATGCCCTTTCGTGAAACATGGGGATCCGCAGCCCAGCGAAGTCTTCAACTTGAGATCAGCACGTTATTTCTTTCCTGAGGGCTTAGGGTTTCGGGGTTTAGGGTTTAGTTAGGGTTTAGTTAGGGTTTAGGGTTTTAATAACTCTAGTAATCATAACAAGAATCACCATAGTCAAAATCTTCATAGTAATACCAATATTTAACACAAGACTGCTATACTAGTATTCGGTTCAGGGCTCAGGGCTTTTACAGCGAAAGGTGGAACATCATTATCCTGAAGCCATTACGGTAAAGTAGAAGGCATCCCTGCACTAACCATCCTTAATTCAAGTTCCAATTTTCTACCTCAAACCCTAAACCCTAAACCCCTAAACCCTAAATGTTCATACAAAACCCTAATCCAAAAACCCATACACCTGAAATCCTAAACGCTCAAATTCAACGTAGGGTATAGGCACATCTATGCTCATTGGCTTTAGGGGAAGAGCCAGAACAGAAAAATGTCCAAGCAACATCCACCCAACAACGAACCTACGAAGCTACTACCCTAAACCCAAGTACCGAATGATTGGGTCCTTTGGGCTTTTAGGGTAGCAGAACGAAGTTGTCGTCCTTAGCTTTGAGTGGTGTAGTCCGGTGTTTCTGGTGATAACCTGCTACTCTGCCTATACTTGGCTGGTTCAAGGCCAGTCTTCCGTGCGAAAGCCCAAACAAGGAGGCCTCAATAAATTAGGATGGGGTTTTGGGGGGTTCCTGATTGTAACTAGAGTGTCACACCCCTAAACGCTAAACCCTAAACCCCCAAACGCTGTTCTAATTTTGAAGGCCCCTATTATTACCCCTCAACCTGCAGGCCTCTGAAGGATAAGAATCCCAATCCTTGAGGCCAATAGCCTGCATATGCGTGGTTGTCAAAATTATGGTCCCTTTTTGGGTCCTCAGGGGGGTCCTTTAAAGGGATCCTTAAAGGGTTCTATAAAGGATCTATATTAGGGTTCTATATTCTATATGGATGGTTGTGAAATTAAGATCCCTTTTTGGGCACCCCAAATATTAGGTGCCGTATGTATAGTAGGGACCCAAAAAGGGACCCTAGTTTTGACTCGACAACTGCCCATATGTATTTCGGAACCAAAGCAAACTTAGGTGCCAATACCCGCGTGGCATGGGTTGAGGTCACGGACAGCGCAAGTTTCATGACAGGATGCTGACGGGGAATTGTGCAGTTGCTTTAGGTTTAGGCAGTATAGCGTTGAGCCGAAGATTATAGGCTGGGAGCGGACAATACTTTCCAGCAAGACTTTGTTGCTCCACGAAGAACTATTGCATGGAAGCCGTGCTGCAAAGAGAGCTTGCTATTGCGAACGTAAACTATGCTTGAGACATCTTGAGACCACAACCCGTTCTACGCACAGCCGTAACATCCTATTGCGCTACTAAAGCCTACTTGGAGGATCATGGGCTTAGTAAGTAAGGTTATAAGTACCTTTATTGGGGTTAACAGTATAGTTACCATAGTTATAGCCCAAGTTCCTAAGTCCCATGATCCTTTAAGTATGGGTCCCTATGACCGAGTCCTTAAAACCACTGAAACGCCCACAGAAGAACCTGGGCCTCGCTGACCCTGAGCCAATTCACTGAAACCTGGAACCACCAAGGGTTCAAGGGTTCCTCTGAAGGGTTCTATAAGGGCTCCTTCAAGGGACCTCTTGGGGTTTTGGGGTTTAGGGTTCGGGAGTTTAGGGGTTCAGGGGTTTAGGAGTTTAGGGTTTAGGTTTAGGTAACTCTGACCCTAAGGTACCTACCTTTTTGAGGACTTATAGAAGGAAATCACGAGAAGAAACTCCGCAAAAAGGTAGGTTCTTGAGGGTCCAGGTAATCTGACAAACTCAGTCCGCACCCCCACATAGTCAGCTGGAGCTGCTATAAAGCATGACCCCGTTTATGGTGCAAAGGTGGGGGTTTTCTACGAGGTGGCGCTGCACATAGGTAGAAAGGGATATCTACCTAGACCCCAAGAGTATTTTTATATGTGTCAGGCCGTTATTTCGCCTAGTTTTGAGGGGTTTGCTAGTGCAAAACAGCTCCCACTTGACTAAACCCTAAACCCCTAAACCCTAAACCCTCCCATTTCAGCTCGGCGTGCTTCATCGGTATACCCGGTAGAGCCGAAACTTTGGGAGGCGTTCCGCCTTTGCATGCAGGTTTTTTCGAAAACATGGGCTTTAGGGACTTTAGGGTAGTTTAGGGCTTAGAGTAGCTGGGGTAGTTAGGGCAGTTCGGGTTTAGGGTATAGGGAGCTTTAGGGACTTTAACTTTAGGGTTCAGGGTAGTTAATGTCGGGGCTTTAATGATTAGCATAGGGTTTTTGGGGTTCCTGATTATATTTATAGTATAATGGTCCCCAAAGCCTATTCTAAGCATTATGGCCGCTATATTAGGGTTTGGGGAACCATCATGGGCTGTGCCATCAAAGATTCCGAAGAACCGGAATACAACCTGTCCATACAATCTCCAGGAACACAGATGAAGCAGCAGTAGTGGCACCCAGTAGTCGTCGCTGCTGCGAAGTCGTTTACTGTAAAGTCCGATGCTTTAGGCAGTTGTACGACTACGTGAAATAATGCAACCAATGATATACATGAGAATAAAACAAACCATAACAAAGATAATGATAACAACAGACCGTTAAACCCTAAACCCCTAAACCCTAAACCCCTAAACCCTAAACCCCAAACCCTAAACCCTAAACCCTAAACCCCAAACCCTAAACCCTAAATGGGCCTTTCGGGGGGTGCCTTTGGAATTTCGGAAAGCCCCGGGCAAATTCGGCTCAAACGGAGAAGCGCTCGACGCTCTCTTGCAGGCTGGTCATCTCCTGGGCTTTAAGGTGGGTTTAGGGTTTAGGGTTGAAAGGTTTAGGGTTTAGGGGTTGAGGGTTTAGGGTTTTAGGGGTTTAGGGTTTAGTATAAAACTAAATTGCATAATGGTTCCGTTAAGAAAAAGTATTAACGTATGGTACTCCGAAGCCCAGTCTCTTGTCTCATCTCAAGTCTCATCTCGACCAGCGCACTGCCGATGGCTTTGATCGCCTGCCTGTCGCATCGAGATTCTTCGAGCTTCAGCTTTCTGGCTTAGGATTTCGGGCTCGAGACTGGGGGCTTCGTCGCCTGCCAAAACCCTAAACCCTAACCCCCAAACCCTAAACAAGATGCAGAGCTTGGGGCTAGAATCGACCAGAACAGGTAATCTGGCTTGTAATTGTACTTACAAGGTTGTCTGCCTTTTGAATGGGACTCATGCCGGTAGGGTGTGCAAGGGTTTACCGTGCTGCGGTTGGGACTTCAAATTACATGGTTCATGGCGAGCAGAAATAGCAAAAAACGCTTCATCTGCAAGGTCCAACAGCACCTGTTGCAAGAGTAAACACTGATCATTGAACGAAAATGACTAAGCCAGCGAGTTGCCCATTGCTAATAACCCAGAAGGCCCACTCACCTTGTTTGAGGAGCGCTCTATACACTCACGAGAATCCATAATGACCCTAATGACATGTCTACTTCAGATGGGACTTGGCGCTTATAGTACCCTTATGGGTTGCGGTTCCAAGGGGGGTAGATAACCTACTAATTCCTAGTTCTCTCTAGTGCTCCCTGAGGCTCCCTTAAGGTTGCCTAAGGATCCCTCGTACCCTCACTCCTTGAACCACCCTCCCTTAAGGACCCTATAGTCTTCGAAACCCTCAGCTCCACACTCTGTCTGGTGCTTAGTAGGGAATGGGGGAATGGATTATGGAGACTATTAGTTGGGATTATATAGGGACTATATGGATCCATTCCCCCATTCCCTACTTAGCACCAGACAGAACTATGAATCCGAAGCCCCGGCCGGCAATCTCCGGGATTTTGCCCTGCAGACTTCACCGGTTGGGGCTTTCGGCTTCGTCGTCAGAGAAGCGCGCAAACCCGAAGTCCCAAACCGTTGCATCCGGTTGTTCTAGGCTTAGAGGTGAAACCCCGTCAGCCGAAAACCATACAATTATCTTAAACCTGTTAGACAAACGTATATGCCCTAAACCCTGAACACTTATAGACCATGAGAGCATGTCCCTTTTACCCTCAGCTCCTAGAGCCTGAAACCTCATAGACCACTCCGCCCGGATACTATAGGGGCCTTAGATATTAGAATAGGGTTGCGGAGCCCATTCTACTATAATTATAATAAGGAACCCCAAATACTATAATTATAATAAGGAGCCCCCTTAAATTGTATCGGTAATTACTCTTGAACCCTAAACCTTCTAGATCCCTTAAAGCTTATAGTTTTCCTTATGGTCTCCCTTATAGTAACCCTCATAGACCCCTGGAGCTCCCCAATCCTTCGTCCCAGACCGAAAACAGGGGACCCTAATATAGTACCCTAAATACTAGGAGCCTTATTATATGGACCCCAAAATAAGGTACCCACCCACTTTTCGGAAACCCCGCCCTTATAGTACCCAATACTCCGATGTTACCCCTAGATCCCTTAAAGGAACCCCTTATAGTACCCTTTAAAGGAGCCCTAACTATCAAGGGCGCCTATAGTAGTGGATAATTATTTCGGCCCCTATAGTACCCTAAACCCTTTATAGAAACCCTTATAGATCCCTTTAAAGGTAACCCCCCCAATTTTCGGAAACTCCCATTTTAGGCACCCCTAAACCCTACACCCTAAATCATTTAGGCCCCTTTTTGTAGAACCCTTATAGATCAACTTTTAAAGAACCCATAAAGAGGATCGCTTTAAGGAACCCATAAAAAGGATCCCTTTAAAGGTCAGTACCCCTATAGCATTCTCATTCTGATTCTGTGCGGACTTGAGTGCCCTAGGCGGGCCCGTCCCAAAACTAGGCCCCTATAGTATTGGTAATTATGTAGGCCCCTGTTTGTACTCCAAGCCTCTTTAAATCCCCCTAAACCCTAAACCTAATTATCTAGGCCCCTTTTTGTATCCCAAGCCTCCATATTATAAGGACCCCAAGTAAGGTACCCCCAATTTCGGAAACTCCCATTTTTGCCCCTTTTCGTACCCCAAGCCTCGTGATCTTGTTCTCGAAGCTCATCTTCGCGAGTTGTAGACCTTTGGATGCAGCGGATGAGGTTAGGGGTTTCGGAGGTATAGGGTTTAGAAATTAGGGTTCCTTTAAAGGGGTCTATAGGGGTTACTATAAGGGATCTATATAAGGGTACGTACTATATTTATAACGGTTCCTACATTAGGGGTTTTGGAGGATTAGTTTATAGGGCTTGCGGGTTTAGGCTGTTTAGGATAATCGTTCCTATAAGGGATCTACAGCCGTTGCTGCTGTATGTAGTGCTTGAAGAAGGGATCTTTGGAGTTTTCTCTGGGTTTTGCGAAGGAAGCCCCGATCGCTCAACACTCCAGGATGCAGGACTAAACACCTGCTTTAAATCCTTGTAACCAGCCTTAGAGTACATATGGGGGCCTCAATTAAATAATAACCTATACTGTTGTAGTTATAGTATAATGGGCCCGAAAACCCTATTCTACTTATTAAGCCTCCCAGATTATAGAACCATACTATTGTAGATCCCTTATAGAACCCTTTAAACGGAACCCTAAACAGGGACCCTATCTTTAGAGGTGAAGCCCTGAAGCCTGAAGGGAGCCCGATGCCACCAGGATGCTCTTAGCCGGGCCATGGAGCTGCATGCAGCCCTGATGCTCGGGCTCTGGGAATTAGGGCTCTTCGGGTTCCTAGGGCCTAGTTGGCTTCAGGATGAAGAGTAATTTTGTTCCAAGATGTACACTATTGAGGGATGCTCCAACATGTACACTGTTGAGGGAGCATACATTATCCTTCAGATGCGTACTCCCACCGGGGCAAGGGGGCGGTCACCTGCAACATAGGGACTTCTTGGAAACTGCAGAGTTGCCAAGAGAAGTACAAGGTGCAGGGAAACACAGCGCTGTGGCAAACAAAACGCGCCCGAGACAACACGAACATCCAGGATGCGACAGACTTTTGGAATCTGTCGGTCGCCTTTGTGTTTTGGAGTGTAGTGGGCATTATGCAAAAATCCCCCGCCAAAAGCCGGGAAACCCACATCTACGATCAACCACAACGAAGGGAGACTTCAGCCAGAAATCCTAGCTTGGCCCTGCTGCCCTGAATCTGGGACACTTGGCCCTAAACCAGAAAACACAAGCAGCAATACCTAAAACTTTGGGAAGCTCGACGTGGGAAACTATTTCTCTAGCTGACATTGTACTCTAAAACTCGTACAGCCCTAAACCCTAACCCTAAGGGTCCACGTAGTTCCTATTTATGGCTTCTGGTACCTAGAAAGGCCCTTACGTCCTATAATAGGGAGTACTTGGACCCTCCGGGTCAACCCTAAACCCGGTATACAAAGTTCAAGGCTACAGCCACTGCTCAGGTTTTGGTCAGGTTCTTCGACTTCGAGATTCCCATGAACCCCAAGCCTTATATACCCCAAACCCGAGGCCGGGTTGCTCAGTATAGGGCACAAAAATGGGCACATAAGCAAAAATTGGGATAGGGATATCCCATGTAAAACCCAGCAGAATGAAGCCTGATAGGGTAGGGATATCCCCATAAAGGGCTTATGCTTATGTGCTTTTTGGGTCCCTAAACTGAGTGAGGGGTTCTCAAAAGTCAGGGGATGTTCCCTGCGAAGCTTAGAACGCACCGAACCTCTCTTTTGACCCTCTAAGCCCACAGCTCCGAATCCCAAAGGTCGAAACCCCAAACAATCGAAAGTCCGGCGCTACTTGAAGGATCATGGGACTTAGTAAGTAAGGTTATAAGTACCTTAAGTGGGGTTATAAGTATAGTTACCCTAAATATAATCCTAGTTACTAAGCCCCATGATCCTTTAAGAAGACACCGTCTAACAATCTTGGCCTTTCATGGCTTTTGCTGCTTTGGGTGTCGGTGCTTTGTATGGGGTTTAGGGTGCGGCAGCTTAGCCCTATGACTCCAAGCACGCAAAGGATACCTACTTCGGGATCGAAATCCCATAATTCGTACCTACTTTGGTTTGTTTAGAGAACTGTGGTAGAATGTCGAAAGTTTCCAAAACCTCCACCCCAAACCTGCTGCATGCACGCAGAGCCTGAAGGCGAGCCAAATGCAATTTATAGAGATCCTGCAAGCCCAAACTCTAAACCCCGAGACCGAAGCCCAAACATTAATCAATCTATCTATTTATTGATCAAACTATCTATCTATATGGGAGTGGGGCCCTAATATAGTACCCTAAATAGTAGGATCATCATAAGGGCCCCATAATAAGGTACCCCTAATTTCGGAAACTCCCATGAATGCACACGCTTACACTTAATTAGCTCCCACAACCCTAAAACCCCAAACCCTAAACCCAACGCGGGAACTAAGTCCTACAGTAGAGGCCATCAACCAGGAACAGTCAAAGCAATCATTATGCTCCTTAACACGCCTTTGTAAGCTCTACAGAGAACCGTGTTCCCACTTTCTGGCTTGCCTACTGTGAACCTTATATCCTAGATGCTAGAACACCTCTAAACCCTAAACCCCTAAACCCCTAATCCTAAACCCTAAATCGTAAAGTGACCTGAACAAATTCGTCCAGATCGATAAGGCCGCTCCTGCACAGGGGCTGCGAGGGTTTAGGTCCTAGCTTGCTTAAAGGATCATGGGACTTGGTAACTATGGTTATAACTAGGGTAACTATACTTCAAGCCGCAATTAAGGTACTCATAACCTTACTTACTAAGTCCCATGATCCTCCAAGTAAGCATTTCGGTTTTCAGGGCTCAGGACTTTAACACGTCTGGTCTTTGGATGCGTTGGGTTTTGGTTGGCCTTTCGGTTTTCTGCACTAGGAACCAAGTTCGTGTTCTTACCACTTCCGGGGCCTTCTTGGCACGGCTGCAGCTTTGGCTCCAGCTTTGTGCCGCTACACAGCCGGGCCCCCAGAGCTTCAAGACTGATGTAGGAACCTGATTAAGAAACTCTGGGCCGAAAAACCTCAAAATAGTAGGATTCATATAAGGAACCGCAATAAAGGCCCAAGGTTTCCTAAGTCTTAAGTTTGCAGACTCAAGCTACGCTTTTTGCTAAACAGTAAACCGAAAACCTAAACCCGAAAACCCAAAACCTGTCACATCGAACCCCTAAACCAGCAACCTAAACCGTGAACCCCACCTCGGTCGGTTCCGATCGCAAGCCCTGAAGTATGAGAACCGGGCATCCTGAATCCTGCTGCCCAGACTTAGGCTCTACGGTTTTAGGGTTCAGGGAGGTTTAGGATTCTTGGGACTTGACAAAGCTTCCTAATATAGAACCCTAAATAGTAGGATCCTTATTATAAGGACCCCAAATACAGATATTTTGGGAATCCGAGAGTTTAGGGAGGCTTAGGGTTCTTGGCTTTCGGTTTCTGGAGAGACGGGCACACGGACCAGGGGTTGTAGCCAACTAGCTGGAAACTCTCGATTTTCCATTCCCAAGGGAAGTGCATAGGGTTTCGGGCTTTTATAGGTTTTATAGGGATTATGAGCTTTATAGGTTTTAGAGGGTTTAGTTTATGCGGCTTATAGGGTTTATTATGTTTGGGGTCTTAGCGTCTAGGGTATAGCAGGGCCAGAAGGTTCCAGCTTCCAACCTTTTGGGATTTCCCAGTCTCCGACGTCTTTGATTGTCTTTACTGTACTATAGGGGCCTTAATATTTAGAAGGGTTTTTGGGTCCTATTTTGCAATAAATACAATAAGGAACCCCCACAATACGGTTGGTGCCCAAAAACCTGCTTGACTTTGAACATCTCCACGGCTTCCCTGCTACCCTTACTTTTAATAATGCTCTGACGCACGGGCTAAAAACAAGGGCTTGCAGGAATGCACTAAATCCTGATGACCCCATGGGGATGCAACATTGAAGTTGAGGAGTTGCCGGGAAGTGGATAGCGCGATATGGAGTATGTAGGACGTTGTGAATCATGCAGGATTTTAGGCATCAACAGTGAAATAGGTAATTATTCATAAGCCACAGAAAACAAGATAAACTTTCCGGTTACTACTCAACTATAAGAGGCCAAAAAGTTTGAAGGTTGGGTATTGGGAACTGAGTTGCTATGTGTTCTTTTTTTCAGGCCGGCTGCAAGGGTACGCATGGGACAGTGCCCTCGGGATCTTTGATCGGGTTCTATAATATAGGGGGCTACATGATTGGAATAAGGTTTTGGTTTGGGGGCCCATTATACCATAATTATAATAAGGAACCCCACAATAGTAAAGGTGTCGAACTGCCGATCCTGTCGGCGTCAATGACCGTGAAGAGAATCGCGATGTCCTCTGTGGAGATTCCCATAGACTCCTTCGAGCATGATTCAGAGCAGGCTTAACATCTGCTTCTTTCAACAAATTGCACGCCCGAAGTTCGAACCGTGATGCGTTATTGAGAAACAGACATGCTTCCGTGACGTTCCTAAGCCAAAATGCCTGTGCTATGGCAACTGAGAGGTATGTCTTGCACTCAATGTCAGCCTATGTTCAGATCTAACCTTGACCATTGAAGCTTGGGGTTTGCTGGTGGGACATTATATAGGATGCTGAAATCTGCATTTCGGGGCATAGGGCATTCAATGCCCACACCCCAGATTGCTTAGGTTCTCGGTACGTACATACGTATACATATACTGCACATACTATACCTTCACACACACACACACACATAGCGTGTGTGTGTGTGTGTGTGTGTATGTGCATATATATATATATATATATATATATGTATATACATATATATATATATATCTATAGACATGTACGTATATGGGCGTAGAAAAAAGTGTGTGTGTGTGTGTCTCTGTCTCTCTCTCTCTCTCTCTCTCTCTCTCTCTCTCTCCCTCTGTCACTGTGCGTGTCCATCTGTCCGTGTTGTTGCATATCAGCGTCGTTCGACCGCTTGCGTATACATCTGTATGTATCTCACACAGTTTAGGCTCTCGGGTCCTGTTAGACTTTGTTGTCTTAGATCGTTGTTATGGTCTTGGCTTTCGGAACTCTGGTCTAGGTGTTTTTTAGGTTCGAAGACTCGTTTTCGGGTTTGTACCGGCGTGGGTACAGGGATTCGAGCTTGTGGTCTAACTCGAACTGATAAAACCAACAATTTGATCCCACAATCAAACGCCCACATCAATGATCCACACTCTGAACAAGGGGTCTTAATAGTTAGAATAGTATCTGGGGCCAGATTGTACTATACTTATAATAAGGAACTCCCAGAATAGTATGGGAATTTTTTAAGGCCCCTAGTCTAAGCCTGAAGCACACAGAAACCTCACAGCCGCTCGGTCCAAAAAGTTCGCGAAGCGCGGAAGATTCATCGCATTTTGGAACTCTTGGAGGTTGACCTCGGAGAAGGATGTCGTAATATAGGGGCCTTAACAACTAGAGTAGGGTTTTGGGGCATCATATACTACAACTATAATAAGGAACCTAGGAATAATATTAGTAGTTATTTAGGCCACGATGTCGTACTTGGAGGATCATGGGTAGTTATAAGTAGGGCTATAAGTCCCCGAATATGGGTTACAAGTATAGTTGCCATAATCATGGGGAACTAAAGGTTAACCTTTGTTGTTATATAGGGGTTATATAGGGACTATACTACCCAAAAAAGGTTAAAGGTTACCTACTCTACTACTATAAGTAGGGTTATAAATCCCCTAGTAGTTACTAAGTCCCATGATCCTTTAAGTAGTATTCTGGGATCACCGAGTTACTGAAATTAGGGGTACCGTATTTGGGGGTCCTTATAATAAGGATCCTACTATGTCGGGTAGTACCTTGGGGTCCCCTATCTTCGGAAACCCCCATCTAAACACGGACCCTAGTTCGGGGAACTATCCACTTTAAGATTGAGGGGCTCACCCGGGGGGTGATCCCACACAGCGGTCTCATGGATTTCAAGATGAACCTGTTCTGGATGATGATCACGTGTGAACATCAAGGACATCGTGAAGGAGAACATCGACGAGGACCGCGATCACGACCACAATGTCAACCCCAACCACAAACACGACAATGACCACTACAAGAACGACTACAAGTACCTGAGCTGCTGCCAGAAGCATAATTGCACAACAGTAGCAAGCAGGATGCAATGGCAAGCAGTAAGCAGCATGCTTCTCTCGGAAAGGTTTTCGCGATGTGCATCAATATGATGCTTCAATATGACACAGGAACCCCAACCCCTGTACCATCCGACTACTGCTACGGTTGTTTCTAGGTCGTACGCTGCCACTACTACCACCACCACCACCACGACGATGACGACGACTACTGCTGCTAGTACTGCCACTGCTACAACAACAACTACTACTGCTACTGCTCCTCCTCCTGCTGCTCCTGCGGCTGCTGTTGATACTTCTGCTACTACGACTCCGACACATTCACTAAGCTAACCAAACCCAAACCCCGGAAAACCCTTGCAGAGCACCGTAAAACCCTGACCCTCAAAAACCCTAGTGCCCTAAAAGGGAGCATATTGGGGTTATATAGGCGCCCGGGTTATACAGGTGTTCTGGTGCCCCAATAAGGTTAAAGGTTGCCTACTCTACTACTAAGCCTTCTGAGTTGGACATCAGTAAATAGCCACCCCCTCCCAGAGCTTCGGGCAAGATTTTCTTCGTCCACGATCTCCTGGAAGACGCGTCGGAGGTCGGCGACCTGCAGAATTGCGAAGACGGCTTACCTAGAGTCTGCATTGTCGTTGCTTGTTTTGGCTCAGCCAGTCTAGATAGTTGGCATCCTACAAGTTATCACCAAAAACCAGAAAACAACACACTGGACCCGACACCAAAACACAGGCGCAAACCCTAAACCCCTAAACCCTATACCCTACCTTCAAAGCCCCAAAATGAGGAAACCTCGAGATGGACTCGTCTAAGCAAAGGGACCCGAACAAATGGCAATGGTAGTCCATGGAGCATTACTTAAAGGATCATGGGACTTAGTAACTAGCCTTATAATTAGGGTAACTATACATACAACCCCAATGAAGGTACTGATGACCTTACTTACTAAGTCTCATGATCCTCCAAATAGGGTTTGGTTCTCAGGCACTAGCAAGCTTAACTTAGGATTCGACAATCTGTTTATGCTTTAATACAACCCTAGAGCCCCATAACCCTACCGTTGGTTGTACTACTATAGCCTACGTTTTTGCGGGGTCCTTAAAACTAGGATGAGAACCTACACCCCAATCACGATTCTAAGTATCAAGTCTGCTACGTTACGGTGCATTAGGAAGCACGGGTTTGCATGCAGCTGCCGACATTAGCCTGGGTTTAGGGTTCAGTGCAAGAAAGTGATTAAGAAACCCTGGGCCTTTATTTGGGTTCCTCAAATGAATCCTATTATTTTGGGGTTATAGGCCCAGGGTTACTTAATCAGGTTCCTACGTTAGTGTGCTGGGGGAGATGTGCGGCTTTCAATGGCACTGGCTCGGCCCATCAGGAATTAAGCCTGCAAATACGGGATGAATGATGTACCAGGTTTACTTATGCATACCCTACAGGGTGTAGTGTTCAGGTTGGCACTTGTTAGGGTTTGGGATAAGGGTGCAGGGCTTGGCAGTTCATGCTACAGAGAGACATAGGAGTCTGGAGGACGGAGTTGAAACGCAGCACTTCAAGAGAACGTTCTGGATCAGAGCGAACCGAGGTGGCTTTGGGCTGTTTGTATTGGGCATTAAACGTTCTTTTAAGGGTTTCTTGGCCGTGTCAGGGTTCAGCATGATCTCATGTGGGTTGTCGCTCACATCTGCATGTGTCTTTGCTTGGTTACTGTTCAGACCAATGTTTATACTGGATGCAGCTGGTTATGTGCAACTGGACAGACGCAGCTATTATTGCATCTAGCAGCTTATGGTGCTTCTCTCTGTGCAGCTCGCTTTTTTCCGTGTAGATCCCTTAAAGGAACCCTTATAGTACCCTCTAAAGGAACCCTAATTAATGGCCCCTATATTAACCGCTCATGGAGCTCCTCTCCGTGCAGCTCGCTTTTTTTCGGCGCGCGCCTGAGCATTTTTGCGCTGAAGCTGCTTCATGGTCGCGATCTCCTTCCCAAGCCCGGCTCCCTTTTTTGGTATTGGGTATCTTTATAGGGCACCTAGGACTACAAAAAGGGAACAAGTGTACTGGAACCGCGCGGAACCGCGAGAAGATCTCCGTCCGGAAAGTATTCTCCCAAGTCTTCATTGCTGAGTGCTATCGGGCTTTATCCACAGTGTGATTACAAGTCTTCATTGCTGAGTGCTATCGGGCTTTATCCACAGTGTGATTACATATCGTCTTAATCAAGTGTGATTACATATCCTCATGATGCAAACGGGAAAACGAACAACATGATTAGAACTGCAATCCTGTTACAGGAAAGTAGTTCAAATCAAGCAGACCTTGTTTTGGGTCCAGGCAGCTACTGTCAGCATGATGCGGAAGAGTTACTTGTCAGCAGTGCCGAACAACATTAACATGTTTCAGGGGCTCCGAACAGTCGCGCTATCCCATGGTCATGGATACAAACACGGAATCCTGTACCAAAGCAACTCCAGTCCGGATTAACTGTCATATTACCCTAAACCCTAAACCCGGGACCCCTAAACCCTAAACCCCAAGGTCCTAAACCCTAAACCGTGTGACCCGTTACGCACTTCATGGCCTACTTCGAGCCCTTGAGAAAAGGGCGTCGGCTGGGGGCCCTGCATCTTGTCAAAGGGTGCTCCCGGAAAGGCCAGCGCAAGAAGCCTGAACCCAAAGCCTCGCACTCCCAAACGAGCCCAGGTATGGCAGATTACAGTATACTTTAGAAATTTCTTGTGGTATATTACAATATATTCTAGATGAAGAAGATAGAAATTTCTTGTGGAATATTTATAGCACATTATTATAGATGAAGAAGTGAACCCTAAGCGTTATATCAACCGTTGACCCTGGACCCGACTCCTGGATATGGCAACAAAGACTTTCCTGTCTTAGAAAAGAAAGTAGCAGGAGCCCGATCCCAGGTGGGAATTTGGCGCAGCTCTCCTTATCCGCCGATGCAGACTCCATGGCTGTGGAGCAGAACACGCCCGTCACCTGCCAATTGCGTGTGTGTGTGTGTGTGTCGTTCTCGTGCTGGTACACCTTGTGAGCCAAAAGCCCACTCGTAGCCAGCACGCCTATTGCAGAAAGAAGAACTTGTAGACAGTGTGCTAATGTTGAAAGGCTGGCGCCAATTTTTCGAAGTTGGGGAAATCGAATTGCACGAGACCCACATCTCGAATGTGCTGCAACGCAGAAATGCTCACGATTGACATCCAAATCCTTGACTGTGCTCTACTTCCCTGCTACTTACAACATGAAGGAGCCCAGATCCAACTTGATGTGTTGGTTTGGCCTACAGTAGAAGCCAGAAACTTGGAACATCATTATCCTCATGACCTTAAGACAAAGTAGAAGGAATTCTAGCACTAATCATCCTAAATCAATGTTCTAACTTTCTGGGGTTCACCATAGAAGCCCTGACAATGTTCAGGCATGGAGCTCCCAAGCAGAGTCCCGGCAGGACAACTGTGCTTCACATACGGATGGTCATTTTACCAAGGCATGCCTTCTAACTTCTTCAGCTCAGCTGCTCTATGATCCAAACCTTCAAAAACATTCAAAGTCGCAAGGAGGGGCTCCATTCAGGGTTTGAAGTCTTATCTGTTGACTGTTACCCTCAACTCCTAAACCCGAAGCCCCGAAACCCTCAACCCCTATAAACCCCTATAAACCCCTATAAACCCCTAAACCCTAAGCCATCCTAACCCCCCAAACCGCCCGAAACCCTCAGCTTGTTTAGCTCATCACAGCTGCATGTTCCAGCTCCAGTCTAAGCCCCCGCACCACGTTCACCACCGCCAGCACAGCGATAGCAATGTAAAACACGAAGCCTAGGATTTCCCGAAATTTGGGGCCCCTAGTATAGAGTACCCTGAATAGCAGGATTATAAAACACCAAGCCTAGGGTTTACGGCCTTGAGGGTTCGGTTTGATATCGGTTCAGGCTTTATGTGATATGGGCGGTTGTCAAAATGATGGTCCCTTTTTGGGTACCCTAAGTACTAGGTGCCGTATTATAATAAGGACCCAAAAAGGGACCCTAATTTTGACAAAAACCCGTATGTGTTTAGGGTTTAGGGTGTGTGGGATTCAGCGGTGCTACGACTTCAAGGGTTCGGATTGAGCAAGGTTTGGGGTGCAGATGCCGGTTCTTGTAAGGTCAGGTGGCTTAAGAATCAAGCAAGGTGCCAAGCAAGGCCATAGTTGCTAGTTGTAGCCAGGCATGGCAGAAGCAGCATACGGCTTACAAGCATGCCCCAACACACCCAGATCGGCCTGAGATACGGAACAAATCAACTCTACCGGGTCGATGAAGCTGGAAAACCCAAATGCAACAAGATTGATCGAGGGTGTCGGCGAAAAAATGTATATGGACTACGCCCTGCACGCTCAACCCCGAGCCCTCACTGGATTCCACACGGGATTGCTGCGGCTCAGGAACAGGACGCGGCCAGTGGCGAGATCAACTGGGCAAGCTTCATCTTTGCTTGATATAGGGGCCGTAAAAATTAGAATAGGGTTTCGGGGCCCATTGTACTAAACCCGAAATAGTATTGAGAACTTATTTAGGCCCCTATACTATCTTCGGTCTAAAGTCAATGACGCCTTAGACATAGACCCTGCTCGCTAAACTACGACACCCCGGCGCCGGTTAAGGACGCAGCCCATGATTCCACAACTAGGTTCCTGCCCAGAGAGCCCAATACCCCTTAATTAAGCAATATACCTTAAATTATAAGGGGCTTCATATTATGATTTAAGCTATACTCCTTAATTAAAGGGTATTGGGCTCTCTGGGTGAGTAGCCCCTTTTTAATAAGGGTACCCGTCTTCCTTCTATTCGGTCTTGATAAGCGAACCATACAACAAAAAGGGGCAAACGGGTACTACTCCGGAACCCAAACAAAGAGACGGCAATCCACTTGACTTCATTGTCAATGCTTGGAGCCTTTCACCTTCCTGTCACTCTGATTGTCAGCGTTCTTTTCAACTGAAGAGTTTGATACTGTCCGGTGCGACGGCCTTGATACTTGCTTGAAATTCATGGCTGCACTCAGCAGTGATTTTCGACGGCTGTTGGCACTGCAGCTCGTCGTTGGCGGGTCAAAACAGGTCATAGTACCTAGAAAACAAGAGGTGAAAACACCATACAAGCTTCGATAAGTTCTTGCAGAGGTCCTTGTCGTCATATTCGTAGTATGTCAACAGCGTGTATCAGCGGCAGGAAACAACAGGTGTTGCAATCCCCTGCTTGATCGATGTTACTATGGATCACAGGCACACCCGGAATACCCCTTATTCAACGGAATATACCTCAATACGGATTATCAGGGGCCTCGTATTATGATTTTAGCTACATTCCTCAATTAAGGGGTGCCGGGTACTGGGCTCTCTCGGCAGTTGTTGTGTATGCGCCGCCTGCCTCCAAACTGTATCTCTGAACCTTAAACACCTTAAACTCTATCTCCGAACCCTGATGCTTGCATCTACGACCGGAAGACATGTTTAGCCGGGCGTCCCTTAGTGACGCCATAGCATCTTCCCAGTTCATGCCGCCAGTGATCGCGGTAAAGAGCGTCAGCATACTTTCCTTTGCGGCCAAGAACTAGGGTTTATGGCTCAGGATGATCTAGCTCTAACGGCAGGGTGTCGCCCAGTTGCCCAAGACTGCTACGATCTCATGCACGAGGGGCCCCAGCCACAGCTGCAACTGAAGAAGCGCCACTGGGGCTCGGGCTCCGAGTAATTATACAGCATTATACATGGCTGAGATCGGTTGCGCGTGTGAGAATGAGGGAAGCTGTCCTTTGCTTCATTCAAGAGTCCGGCACTGAGGCCCAGTAGAAGGCCACATTGTTTGGACACACAGGCTGTGCGTTCACGTCGCCCGTACTCCGCACAGCCTCGAGCCGTGGGTTCAGGCTTGTTGGGGAATTGATGGGGGCTCTGCGGAGATCGTGGACAAAGAGTTTGTGGGTAAATCTCACCACAGTTTGGGCGTCACTGCTGTCAATTCCCTAGATAAGTACCCTAAACCCTATACTTCTACCTAGACCCCCCAACTACCCCAAATACCCACTATTAAGGGCCATTGCTAGGGCTCTGATAAAGGGCCCTTTAAGTGGCTGTCTGGTTCTCAGCAGGGAATGTTGGAGTGGGTTAGAGGGACTACTATAATGGACCCTCAAGGGACTATCACAGGCATCCATTCTCCCATTCCCTACTAAAGTAAAAACCAGAAAGTTGAAATATGATTATCCTAAACCCTTTATGGTAAATTATAAGGTATCCTACCCTGAAACCATATTCCAACTTTCTGGAGTTCCCTTTAAGAACCAGACCGGTGGGGTACTGGTAAGCTCCAGGGTTTCTGAGCACAGGCCTCGTCACGGCAGTAGTCCATCACCAGCTGCGTGAACACCTCAAGCTTCTGGGCTGTGGATACTTGGGGTTTGTAATGTAGAGGCCTTCACAATGACCTATTTTAGGGCTTATAGGGTTTATCTAGAGCTTATATACCGTTTAAAGGTTTATTGCTTGTAGGAATTAGGGTTCATTATACGGTTCAGGGTTTGTATGGTTTTTGGGTTTATTTAGGGCTTAGGGTTTGTGCGCTTTAGGGTTTGTTGGGTCAAAAAGACAGGTCTATAAGATTTATTGGCATGACCTGCCGTCAGCCGTAGAAGCTTTCATCTCAACCCTTGCCAGTTTCTGAATGACATCGAGCCTCAAACAGCAAATCTCAAGCCTATCACTGAATCACTGTGTAATATCCTTAACTCCCTAAAGCCTGGACCCTAAACGCGCCAACTTCCGATTCAACACCATCACCCCCCTCCCCTCTTTCTTTCCCCCACGCCACAACTTCGCCCTGAATCTGACTTCCGGGAGCTTGGTTGGACTGGGGCCGGTCGCCTGCTGCAAAAGAGATTACAATGGATACCGAAGCTCTGACGAGAGGTGCATAAAGGTGCTATATACAAAGATCTGAATGGCCAGAAAAAATCCCCTCATGGCCCCTACCACTCGTAGTGGGTACTTGGGTACAGTTATGCTAGAAGTTTGCCCAACACCCTGAATATTTCTGACTATACTTGAAGTTCGTGGGTAGTTATAAGTGGTGTTCTAAGTCCCCTAAAATATAAGTCGCGATTACGGTTACCTTACGCAGTACAATCCCCTTACAACTACCCCTAAACCTCCTACTTCTTCATATAGAACCTAAAACAGTAGTACCCTCATTCTACAGACCCCAAATATGGTACACTTTATTTTCGGAAACTCTAAACCCGACAAAAACCCTTTATGGAACCCTTCTAGATCCCTCTAAGGAGCCCTGAAACGATTCCGTAAAGGTACCCCTAATCTTCGGAACCCAGAGAGCCCAATACCCCTTAATTGAGGAACATGGCTTGAATCACAATATGAAGCCTCCTATAATTTAAGGTATATTGCTTAACTAAGGGATATTGGGCTCTCTGGGAAACTCCCATGCATGTGGTCCCATGATTACAGCAGCTGGCGGTCGGCCCTAAGAGGTCGGTGCCTTCGCTATGAGCGAGGCTAAGTCTCCTATAGAATCCCTACAAAACAAAGGCCTCAAGAATCAGAGCAGGGTTTCTGTAAACGGTTCTATCAGGGATCTGTAATTAATGGGCTTCTATGAGAGTCCCTATACACAAGTTGGAGGAAGAACGAAGTCTGGGGTTGAGGGCTAAGGGGTTCAGGGTCTTGAGTCTAGGGTTTTAGACAAAACCAAACCTGAAGCCTTCGCGTTTCAGGGGCCAAAGGAGGGTCCAACGCCAAGGCACGATGCCGAAGCTGTAGAAAAGCAGAACCAGCAGCGCTAGTGTCCTGCAAGGATGTGCAGCTGATGGCCATTTGCTGTTTCGACCCCTCTGCTGCATTACTCGTGACCTTCGTGATTCTGGTCTCACCATTTTCTGGTGACAGTCAAAATTTCGGCGAGCCCTGTCGTGGATTCATCACATAATTTGGGAAAGTGGTCCTTCCCACGAATTCTCCTGCAACTTCTGCAGTTTGCAAGTATACTCAATCAACCGCTGATTCTCACAACAAGCTTCGAGCGGTTCGCGCGCTCGCATGAGTACTGCAACCTCGCTGTGCTTGGCTTGAGTTTCTGTCAGCCGCCCTCGCCGCTTCAAGTAAGCTGGTCGAGCTTGCATCTTTTTTGATTCTAGGGATTCTGTGCTAAGAGGGGATTTTATAGGGTCTACTGAAAGGATCATGGGACTTAGTAACTAGGGTTATAATTAGGGTAACTATACTTCTAACCCCAATTACGGTACTTATAACCTTACTTACTAAGTTCCATGATCCTCCAAGTTGGGATTCACGGATATGGGAGTTTCCGAATAATGAAGTACCCGAAATAGTAGGATCCTTGTTATAAGGACCCCGAGAAGTGATTCCCCTAATGTTCGGAAACTCCCTCATGGTTTTAGACTAAGGCAAAACAAGCGCCAACTAACCGAGGGCATGCAAGGCATGTGGAAGCAAGACGACCGGGGTGTCCAGCAGAGTGAAGCCATGCTGGAGATGATGGATAGCACGAGCGTCCGCAGGGCGCTGACATACCTCACCATCCAGTGTTGTTGTTTCTGACATTCTGACTCTACCATTATCAATCCCCACATTTCACTCTCAACCATTCAACTCCTAGAACCTCCCAAACCCTAAATGGCTACACCTGGGTTTCAGGAACTCGTCCTTTACAGCACTGTCGTGCTCTTCAAAAGCCGTGGGAAGTTGGCTATGGGTTTCGGGTCGGCTCGCTTCGGTGGCATGTGAGGATAGTTTTGGCTTTGGGTTTCGTAGAGTTTGGCATCTGAGGATGGTGGGGGTGTTTGGGTTTGGGTGTAGGGGTGCTTGGCTCTTTGTTCTGGTGCTGGACGGTTTAGGGTTTAGGGTTTAGGGTTTAGGGTTTAGGGTTTAGGGCTGGACCTTGGGAACGAAGCACGACCATGGCCAAGTGGAAGTGACTCAGCAGCAGTTCCGCCACTATCGGCACAGGCAGGAAGTTATTACCGCTATTCCCCAGCCCCTTAAGCTCCAAGAGAAACCGATAACATCATCGTGAACAGCAAATCTTTGCAGGAAACTAACAGGAAAAAGGATGATGTAATGAAAAAGGACGCTTAGAACACCCACTTCCACGAATGTCGCACCGGACCTTTGTTTGAGCCACTGATGACCGCTGATCGTGGACCCAGCTGCCAACCGGGAACATGAACTGAACAGCTTGAACCCTAAACCCTAAACCCTAAACCAAACTCTAAAGCCTTGGCCTACACCCTAAGACTCCGTATGTCGTCCAAGAGTAAATCAAGCCCCTAAGCCCCAAACCCAAAACCCCTAAACTCTACCCGAAACCCTAGATCCTGAACCCTTGAACTCCGAAACTCCTAAACCCCTAAACCGCAAGCCCTTAAACCCCTGAACCTAAAAACGAAAAGTCGAAGCCCAGCAACCGCAGCAGCCGCACTACTCGAACTCCGCGGAATGCGCGAACCTGTCTTCGGGCTTCATAGAAATACCGGTGCTGGGAAGGGTAATCACGTTAGAACACAATTGTGATGAAGGTAGCACGTGTGCAACATAGTTCGACAAACCACAACATCGACCGGACCAATACGGATAATGAGAGCCCTAAACCCTTACTGCAAGCCCTACAGAACCCTTAAACCCTAAACCCAAATCCTAAAGCCTTAACCCTGCGTTGCAAAACTACAGACCCCATAATTAAACCCAAAACGCAAAATTAAATCCTAAACTCTACATAACTGTAGACCCGATAAACCCAAAACCCTAACCAAATCCCAAACCTTCTAAGTCCTACAAACCCCAACTGTAGACCCTGTAAATCCAAAACCCAAACCCTCCAAAACCCAAAACCCCAAAACCCTAAACCCCTGCACCTAAACCCAGAACCGAAAACCCTAAACCCCTATACCTATACCCTAAACCCCAAAACCCTAAACCCTTATACCTAAACCCAAAACTCAAAACCCTAAAGCGGATGCATCAGGGCGGCCAGGCGCATGGTCCGAACGAAGCGGAGGTGGCTGGCGCTTACCTCTGGGACTTGGGTTGGGGGGGCTCGGGCCCAACGGTTTAGGGCTTAGGATTTAGGATCTAGGGTTTAGGCTTACAGGGTTTAGGCTTATAGGATTTAAGGGTTTAGGACTTCGACTTCGGATGGGGAGGGGCTCGGGTTTAGGGTTTAGGGATTCCATTTAAGGGATCCTTTACTAGGATTTGGGGTTTAGAATTTAGAGACTAGGGTTTGGGACCTATGGGGTTTAGATAGGGTTTTGTTGTGGTTTATAAGGTTAAATTGGAGCTTCGGATTTAGGTTTCGGGCCCAGGATAAATCGGGCTCATAGGGTTTACTGTAGGGTTTGGGAATTCAAAGGTTTAGGGTTTAGGGTTGTATAGGGTTGAGGTTGTCACTCCCACTGTTCACCGTGATGCCCCTCCACAAGCCTCAACTACCAACTTTGAATCCTTGATTTAGGGCTTCAGGTGCGTCCTGCCATCAAAACCACAAATGCACTGTCACCAGTATTCGTAAGGCTCCCTCTCTATGCTTGTGTATGTATACATATATCTATATATATATACATACATGCTTGTTTATATTGGTATCTATGTTTGTTGCAACTGTTGTCTTGCATATGCATATCCGTCTTATACTTGTATCCATGCACAAGTTCTACGTATATGCAGACCTTTACCATGCAAATCTACAACATATGCCCTGCTTGTCTCAGATGCATGGAGCTTATCAAATTTAGGGCTCCCCGAGCGCCCATAATTAGGAATCCCAGGGATACGGATGCAAACACTCGTGCTTGTGTCAGTGGGTTGATTATGGCTTAGGGTTGCGGGACTTAACGTTTTAGGCGTAGGGTTTGCTTGACCCCTTCCAAACCCCATGAAAGCATTGCTGTAAAATACAACCCTAAACGCCCTAAATCCAAGGAGCCCATAAACCCCTAAACCCCAGACAAACCTTCCTAATCAACAGCAGGCTCAGAGATCCTGCTGGCAAGATAAATAATCCCCAAACCCTAGAACCCTAGATTCCTCATTCCAAACCTTAAACCCTAAACCACCAGAACATTTATTTAGGGGCCTTAATAGTTAGAACAGGGTTTTGGGGCCCATTATACTGTAATTAGAATAAGGAACCCCCACAATAATATAGGTAATTATTGAGGTCCGTAGATTAGAGAGACCTGCTCTTTTAAATCACAACTCTTTGACAGGTCGCCTGAGCCTCCGGGGTGGCGACGGTGAGCGCCCAGAGCCTGGTTCTTACGGGGGTTTAGGGTCAAGGGTTTTGGGTTTAGGGTTTAAGGATTAGGGTTTCGGGTTTAGTGCTTAGCCTTTTGGGTTTATTGTTTGGGGTTTGGGGAATATTTTTACTATAGATCCTGGTTATGGCAATCAAAACTAAGCAACCATAAGAAGGACACCTTAATATCGATCCGTGTTATGGCTATATTGAAACAAAGAAAGTCTTGAACTAGCAACTAGGGTCATTATGGGGGTAACTATACTTACAACTCATCTTAGGGGACTTATAATAAGCCTACTTGAGCCGAAGCGCTCAATGGAGGTCTCCAGCACTGACCAGGCAATGATCGAGAAGTCCTGGGAGGGCTTGGAGATTCATGGGCAGGGTGATAAGGGTGGCTGTCAAACTTAGGGTCCCTTTTTGGGTACCCTACATAATAGGTACCGTATTATATTAAGGACCCACAAAGGGACCCTAATTTGACAACTACCCATAAGTAGGGTTATAAGTCCCCTAACGTGGGTTATAAGTATAGCTACCCCAATTATGACCCCAGTTACTAAGTCCCATGATCCTTTAAGTAGGGGCTCATATAGTACTGACGCAGTCGAAACGAGACGGGGCGGGAAGGCCTCACTACTCACTACTCCAACAGTAGTGCTGGTGTTAGACAGGACACTCTGCAACAGCTTAAGCCACAACACTGAAGCTTGCGCTTTTCTAGTCACACGCACAACTTAAACTTACCCAAATCCTGATGACCTGGATCGACAATTGCGAACCCCGCATGATACATCCCTGCCCATTCGATGTGATACTACAATTCCACAGCCTGTTTGCGGCCCCGATGCAAAGATATTCCATGACCTATCGGGACCGCAGAAGAAATTGTTGACGCCACTAGCCGAGAAGAGGAGGCACAACTCCACGACAAAGATCAAGACCTGTGGCGCAGGGTGCCAACTCAATTTCCGACATAGGTCCGGTTTCAGTACTGACCAAGCGCTTCAAGTTTATGACGACCCGACGATTTTCATCAGCTGCATAATCACCATGCAGACCATCATGCAACAAGTCAGCGGCATCGTCGCCATCACCGTCAGCACCACTACAGCAGCAACGACAACAATAGCAACAGCAACACAACTATAGGACTCTGTTGTTTTGACATTGAATATGATGAGCATGCGGCAGCCATTCTCCAGGTGATGACATGAGCCGTAGTGGTGGTGTTCGTCAGCATCGTCCTGAAAAATGCCATTACCGGCGCTATCGCCTTCGCCGGCGTCAAAGACATGATGCAGCTGCCGTCATTACCATGCTCAAAGTGACAACGACGCTCGTCATTGTCCTCGTGGTTTAACCCTCGTGGTCGTTTAAGCCATAATATGAGATGCAAGCGCGATTGCGAAACTGGCGCACGCCATGCTCAACAATCTGACCACCATTAGTAATAGCCATATGCTCACGAGTCATGACATCTCCATGGCTGTAGCTACGGTGCCACACAGTATCATGGTGCTCTGCTTCGTTGTTTCTTCGACAACAACCCAAAGCATGGACAAGAACGACACCAACAGTAATGACTCTATCAGCAGCAGCATCCTCTGCCGCCACAACCACAACTACGACCACAGCAACCACAAACACAGCAATCACAATCAGAGTAAGAACACGCAAGACCGGGAAAACCACAACAACAGCAACTACAACCACAACCACAACACAGCATCAGCATCATTCATCTGTTGCTGGAACGGGTACAAAGCTGCTCAGCAGAGGAATCGGCTTGCTGCAAAAGCCAGCCCTGCCTAGAACAGAATAAGAATTTGGGGCCCATGATACTATGATTATAGTACGGAACCCCCAAGGCAGCTATGGGGCCCATTATAATATTACACTATGGTTATCATACGGAACCCCAAGATAGTATTGGTAACTAGTTAGGCCCCTACAAGTATTACCGAGTGGTCTGCGGCTTGGGGAGGACATCCGGTTCGATGGCTCCGACAAAGGTTGTTTGCATGTTTCAGCCAACTGACCAAGCAAAGATGAAGTCTGTGTGTGACATAACATACAAGGCCTTTACACGAAGAGCAGTGCAGCTACAAAACAAACGAAGCCACTGCCAGTTATGATACATCCCAGCAGCCACGACGCCATTTGCCAACACGAACCTCGGTTGAAGGTACTCCGTGCCAGGTGGGGCGAGTGAGGTAACCATAGTTACAACACGTGTTAGGGGACTTATACCCCCACATATAACCACCCTAAAACCCTAAACCCTAAACCCTATACAACCCTTAAAGGAACGCTAAACCCCACTTAAAGACTGCCCAAGTGAGTGGGTTCAGAGAGGCGCAGAATCTTCGGGGGTTTAAGGCGATCTCGGGGAGAATTGTCCAGTGCCGGTTTCAGTCAGAACTCGCACCCTGCCGTGCTGCATAAGTAGCACTGTATGTCCCCTAAAGCCTAAACCCTTAAGGTCTATGGGTTTAGGGCTCAGTGCTTAGGGTTTAGCACTCAGGGTCCCGAAGCCCTTAAGGTGTATGGGTTTAGGGCTTAGGGTTTAGCGCATTTAGGGTCCCTAAACCCCAAATCCAGTAGCAGGCTGCCTACTCGCAGTTTCTGTTCAAGGCCCGTTAAAATTCGTAAAATGGGTCCTATTAAGCCCAATAAGATATAACTATAAAATGTCCCAGAGGCCTACCTAGTGTTACAGCGAGGACTCGGCAGCAAACTGGCACGGCAGGGCGAAGACTTGCGGCCGACCCTGTAAAGACTGCGAGTACTTGCAGGATCGTGGGACTTAGTAGTACCTTTTTGGGGTACTAGGGGTACTACATAGGGGTCATTCATGGGATCCTTATAAGGGGATCTATAAGGGTTCTATAATGGAGGATCATGGGACTTAGTAGCTCCTATAAGGGTACTATATAGGGGTCCATGATAAAGGGCTCCTTATAAAGGCATCTATCAGGGTTCTGTACTGGAGGAAAATGGAATTTAGTAAGTCAGGTTTTATGAGTACCTTAATTCGGGTTATAAGTATAGTTACCCTAATTATAACTTTAGTTACTAAGTCCCATGATCCTCGAAGTATGGCACAAGAGATGCTCAACATGCTGAACGAACCTGCCAAACTCTTTACAATGGTAACCCTTGTAGTAGCCCTTACAGACTCCTGAGTACAGGAGCCCTAAACCATAATCCCCTAAACCCTGAACCCTCTCAAGCCCCAAACCTTAAACCCCAAAAACTTCTAAAGCCCCAAACCCTAAACCCCAAAACCCTCTAAAGCCCTGAAACCTCTAAAGCTCTAAACCCTAAGCCCCCAACCCTAAACCCCAAGCCCTAAACCCTCTACCGTCTAAAGCCCTAAACCCTAACACCTCGAAGCCTGAGCCGGGCCACCATGGTGGGATTTCGTTCTGCGGCAGCCGGGCTGTGAAATCGACTTCCTCAGTCTCTCTCTCTCCGGTTTAGGGTTTAGGGTTCAGGGGTTTAGGGGTTCAGGGGTTTAGGGGTTTAGGTAGGGGTTTAGGATTTAGGTGTTTAGGGTGTCGGGCTTCCGGATTTCGGGCTTTGGGTTTAGGGTTTCCGGGGTTTCGGGTGTCGGGTTGAGGGACCCTCTCTCTCTTTTTTTTTTTCTCTCTCTCTCTCTCTCTCTCTCTCTCTCTCTCTTTTTATTTCTCTTACTCTGTTTGTTAATCGTCGTATTTCTCTCTTCCTCGATGTATACATATATATATATATACATATATATATATATATATACACATATATATATATATGCAGTCATTATGTACATATCCGTCTATAGACATGTGTGCGTTCTGGGTAAGGGTTCAAGGTTCAGGGTTGTCATATCCATGCGGAAAACTAGATGTAGGACAAGTTCCAGCATCCTCGAGAGCAACCGACAATTTAGACCAAGCCTGTCCGAAAGCTTCCGGCTACAGAGACGAATTCATGTGCAGCGTGCTGCCCCCACACAGTCGGAGCTCAATAACCAACACTGCTCCACTGCAGGAACCTCCACAGCCCTCCAAAGCTAGGCCCAGGCACGACACCCAGCAGGATCATGTTGAGCAAGATCACCGACATGATCCCATATGTGAAGAAGGTAGACGACGTCACCCGCTCCTTCAGTCACGTGGAGGCAGAGAAGAGAAGGCTGGCAAGAAGCTCCTACTAAACTAGAAACACCGAAAACCCGCGGGCATTGCAACGTTGCATGATGTAGACATATATTTATACACACACTGCTTAATATATATATATATATATATATATATATATATATATATACATACATATGCATGCTTGCCCATGTAATATGGAATCGTTGGCTGGCAGAATGGAGGATTCAGACCTGAAGCCCAAGACCTGAAGGCTCGCATCATCTACGGAGTCCGAGACTTCCGAATTTCATGACTTGTATCTTGGGCTTGCCTTTCAAGCCTATAGTCGGCCCTTTTATGCATTCACTTTCGAACTCATGGAAACTTCTGCTCTCCAGAGACAACAACCCTGAACCTCACATCGCAGCCCCATTCTCCAAGTACCCCAAGATTGCTCCGTGCTCACTGAAGGGCTGCTGTTGCATGTCTTCGGTGCATATAGACTTGTAGGATGTGAATTACTCACGGGTGTCGGGATGCTAAACGACTGGAGTTCCGAGGGCAAAACACACTCCTGCTTAGGCTTACCAGTTTCAGTATCCTATGGGGACGTTAAGGTTGACCTGTGGGATGATATCGAGGGTATAATACCCCAAAAAAATTTAAAGGAAGTTAAAGAACACTAAGAAGGTGCGCCACGACGTTTGGTGATGAAGGCTCCGATGGATTGCTTCATACATGTGGTGTAGGGCAGGCATGCAGCGCATACAAAACAAGATCCGACAAGCAGACGTGCAAGGTCTGGAGTCCAGCTTGCCGGTACTTGGAAGATCATGGGACTTAGTAAGTAATTATAAGGTTATAGGTACCTTAATTGGGGTAATAAGTATACTTGTCCTAATTCTAACCCTAGTTGCCAAGTCCCATGATCCGTTAAGTAGCTTAAGCTTCACTATCATGCTGCGTTGAAAGACTAACAAAGAACTTTCAATTCCCTGAGCCCTGTGGCACTGTCAAATTCGAACATTCATTCACTTGCAGACAAGGCACAGCCCTGCGGGACCAGCTCCTGCTGTTGCTGCGATCAGAATTGTATGAGGTGAGAACACCTTGGCGCGGGAACCGAGGCAAGGTAAGGCCTGGCTTACTTGGAGGATCATGGGACTTTGTAAGTAAGGTTGTAAGTAGGGTAACTATACTTGTAACCCCAATTCAGGTACCTATAGCAAGCAGATGCTAACCCCACACCGCACATCCTATACCCCACCCTACACTTTCACCTCAATTCTCAACCCGCCTCCCAAAATCAACCTTCCCAAAACCCATAACACAATCAAAACACAACAACCTCGCCAAAACCCAAAACAAAACCCAAAACACAACAACCTCGTCAAAACCCCAAGCAAAAGACAAATCAAAAGAACCTCCTTACCCCACACCTCAACCCTCCGAAACCCAAAACACAAAGCACAACCCAAATCGCGAAGCCTCGCGAGGCGTCTGCCGACGCGTCAACACAAAACCCCAAAGCAAAATAAATTCGAAAGAACCGCCCTTACCCCACACCTCAAAACCTTCCTTCCCAAAAGCCCTCCCCTAAACCCGAAGCCTTTGATCTCTAAGACCTAAACCCCTAAACCCCACTGTCACTCCTCAAGCCCTAAACCCTAAACCTTAATCCCCCAAATCCTAAACCCTAAACGCTAAGTGGTAGGTAGCAAAGTCTTTCATAAAGCAGATGCCAGTTGGTAGCTCATACCTAGACTAAGCCTCCTGCATAATCAAGGAAGCAGTCTTCTCTCTAATTTGTGCGCGGGTCCACCACGAGCAACCACATTGAACCTCGCCGAGCAGGTGTCCGTTCTGAAAATCAGCGTGGAACAGAATGCTGCCAATCCGCCATCGCTTCATGGCGGAAATGCCTGCATCTTCCATATCGAATGCATAGAAGTAAAACCATCGACCCTCTTGCGTAGCCAGCACGTAAAGGGCGTGTTGAATGGGGCCAAACCCATAGCGAGCATCACCTGGCATGATGCCCGCCCTCATTAAACGTTCATGAAGAAGTCCAACACCCAACTTCAACTGGTCATAGTTGACTAAGCCGCACTGCTAACGAATCATACTCATTGACCACGCAGCCAACCACGCGCACGGGCGAAGAATATTAAAGTCGGCTGATGCTGACGATTGTAACTCGCGGGTCAAGCGGCAATTTTGCCTGTCGAAAGCAAATACGATCCCCTCGCACGTGCTCAGACTCAGTATTGCTTCGTCCGGGGAAGCATAAAGTCTGTAGCGAAACCTCAAATGACGGTCACGAAAGACTCGAAAGACTAGCATTGCTCTAGCACGGTCAATGCTTGTCCTTGTGCCATTTACATCTTCGTCGATGCCATGCTGAGCGAGATGGCAAGCAAAATGTTCGGACTCTGTTTGCAGCTCCTCCGCCAGAATGATGCGACGACAACACCGGCTTGGGCACGTAGCCTCACCGGACTGGGCGCACTGCTGGCAAACCAATAGTTTGTGCTCATTTCCCGAGTGTACACACCAGAAAAACGTCAGACTTTGCATAGATTGGTTGCAGAAAAAGCACGTGCGGTACACATACTCAGTCGACGACTCCTCGATAGAGGAATCGCTTTCCGAATCGCTTGCCATAAAGCAACAACAATGGCACAGCTTCAACTGACGTACAGAAACCCTGTTTAGCTCCACCTGCTGAACTGCATTTGACATCTTTGGAAAAGTAAACGTAAAGGCTTGCATGGAGTGGTTGCATCAGAGCCAAAAAGGTTGTGGTCCAAAAGAAAATGAGCTGTGTCTTCTAGGTCCGGGAATACATTTCCTGAATTAAAATAAGTTAACCCCCAAAACCCTAACCTGAGCCGTAACCTTTTCGCAGGGTTCTGGGTTTAGGTTTAGGGCGTCGTCGTTTAGGAGGGTTTTAAACCAACCATCCCAGAACTGGGAGAAAACAAGGAGTGGAAAGCGAGAGCTTGAGGATTCTTGGGTTTAGACGTTTTCGGCTGGGCGTTAAGAGCTTGTTGTCGTTTTTGTTTGTAACTTTGTGGACAAACCATGAATTGTCAAAGGTTATAGGATTTGTCATAAACTTCAAAACAAAATCGATTCAGGAAGAAAGCATAAAAAGTAAAGAATTTGCACCAATCTCTAACGAAATTTCTGAAAATCCATTTTTAACAACCCTTAACAAAACATATAGCAAAACATATCACAAACAAACAAAAACACACAAAAAAAACAACAAAATCAAAACATAAAATCAGGAATAGAATATGAAAGTAAAGAATTTTGTTACACTTTTAACAGTTCGTGGCGCAAATGCCCGCGTGTATCATTACCCAAATAGTAACAGTTTTGACCTAACTTTTTCTCTATTTTCCTGACGGCGAAGTTTTATCCTTTTCGCTGATGCCTTTTTTACGCATTACCTTAACATCGTCCCCGACCTCTATTTCGGGATACACCCTGCCTCTTTTCGCTTGAGTAGATATGTTTAATTTAACAACAAATTCATTTCTCTTTTTCCGTGCCTCTATGGGCGTCATTTTAGTCGCCGATGAAACATTTTGGTTATTATATGTTAATAATGTTTCTAAATTATAATCTATCCATTGTGTGTTGTGCTTACCCATTTTTTAACTGCCTCAATCCGCTTAAACAACATATCTTTATATGTTCGTGTTCTATGTATTTCTATCTTGTCCTTTTCCAAATACTCCATAACTGGGTTGCTATACAAACTCGGTTCTTCGTCCGAATAGAACATCTTCGATTTTCCGCCCATTTTTTGTATCCCCTCCATTATTACCGCTATTATGTCCGGTGCTTCCTTGCTCTTAATAGGTATGACGGTAGCATACTTACTAAAACAAAAAATATCAATCAAAACCATACCTATGCTAAACTTCTGGTTTTCTAAATCGTGGCTACTTATAAAGAACAAATCCAACTGGAACTCAAAAAACACCCCACAAAACTATTCTCACGTCTCGGGCGTCTCTTTTCTTCAACATTCTTTTAAAGAGTTCTTCAACATCCTCTTTCGTGATGCTTTTGTCTTTCTCTTTGGCATCTTTAAGCGTAGTCGCCCTACTTCCAAAACCCGAGCGGTCATAACAAATATCATTAATGATTTTTGCTTATCCAAACTCATATAAATAATAATAGCAAAACTCATTATTATTATTATTATTATTCAATGAATCCTGACATTACAGTAGAAGCAATAAGCACAACAATTATCTAAGTGATGCCCGAAATCATTACATGGTCGTTGTGCTGTAAAGTTGCTACATAACTTGCCTTGATTGGTTTCAAAATTGAACGATGTATTACATTTCTCGCACCTGCTTTTAAACATTTTCAATCACCACTCTGGGGTTATGTATTCTTCTTCGTTTATCTCTCTCTTTGCCTTCCGGTTTTGTAGTTTGTAATTCTCAACCTTGTTTCTAAAATATCTCGTTTCTCATAGTCGTTACTCTTGTAAAACTTCACTTGTTTAAAATCAACACACCTTGTTATTGCACACCACAACCACTCCTTACTTGCTATTGGTAGGCCGTGTTCGTGTATCGTTATACTTCCCTTGACACTTGCCCCTTGACTTGAATGACAAGTTGCACAATACGAGTAAACGAAGTTGGCATACACGATAGGTTCAAATAACATAAACTCATCTTCCTCATTCGCTATATTTTGTAAAGTTATTTGCGCTCCGAGTTCATCTTGCTGTATGCTCGTAATTCTATACCGTAGATTTACATTTACCCTTGGTTGTTTAATTCATTTTTTGGCAATGAGTGTTTCTCCTACTTCGTATTTATCTTTGTTGTTCGACCTTTCTCTGACTTCATTTGCTACATTTCGGCATCTTATGTTTGTATAAGCAATGTTATGCTCCGATGCCATGATGTCGTCAGTTGTTTCAAAATATTTGGGTATCATCTCTTCAAATGGCAACTTCTTTTCCCAGAAGTCCTCATACATGTTATTAATGATTTGCCTGTTTCTGTCTCCTTCCTCGCTGTCCTTCGCTCCTACTCTCTTACAAACAGTCAGGAAAATGTTGTATTTAAATATTATATCCAAGCAGTTGTCAATGTATGTTGCTTGGTTCTGGCAGTTCGTCATTGCTTCCAACCCCCTGTAATTGTTTAACATCACCTGTCGCAGCTACGATTTTACCGGGGAGATTTCTTAATAAACTGTCTGACCTTATCTAAAACATGCAGGTTTGACATATAGATTTCATCAAACACAATTATGTTAAAATCACTATAATCGAACTGTGGCAACTTCTCCCCCACATCTTCATGAACGGCAATGCTGAAAAACTTGTTATATGTTGTTGCTTCTACTTCCTTCTCTTGTAAAAGTCTTTTGGTTGGCACTACAAACAAAACATTCTCGCCCAATGTTTGGAAGTATTCGCCTATATAGCTCTTCCCACTACCTGCGAAACGAGCACGGATTAAACAAGGGTTTCTCCGTACTACTTGTTCGCAAATGGCTTTCGTGACCCACTCGTCTTCAACCTCAATTTTTACATTACTAACTTTCGGGATTGCCGGCACTTCGTTAAACTTGTATGTGTATAACTGCCTAGGCAGTGTAATGATTTTCTTTTTTTCCAGTCTCCAATTGCCAATGTCCGTTCCAAATTTAAGCAGTCCTTCTATCCACACACGTCAAAAATTCTGTATCCATACACCTTATCCACATCGTTTTCGTGGATGGTGAGGCAGTCTGTCTTAACACTATATACCTTGATGTTATTATCGGTTAATGTCTTGTATGCTTCATACATCTTGAAATTATGATATTGTAGTACCAACTCCTTGATATACATGAACCCATTTATCAAAGTCTTCTTTTCCGACGCACTTAACACATAATATTTAGTTCCTTCCGTCTCCCTTGTTTCAAATTCGTCTTCATCTACTTCGTTAAGTTCTGTCTGACACTCGCTTGTAGTAGAGACCTTTCCGCCGTGGATGCTTTGATAATAACATGCCTCCTTCAATGAAGTAAAGGTGCTACTTCGCTGACTTGTGTTGTGGGATTTCTCCAACATCCC